TGCCCGGGGGCGTGGCCTCAGCGTGACCCCGTGACCCCAGGGGTCAAGCTCCCATCCTGACCCCGTGACCCCGTGCCCAGGGGTCAAAGCCGCATTCAGGTCCCCATGTCCACAAGGTGTGTCCTCATGTGACCCCGTGACCCCAATTCCTGAGGTCAAGTTCCCATCCTGCCCCCCCATGACCCCAATCCATGAGGTCAAGTTCCCATCCTGACCCCCCCATGACCCCAAATCCTGAGGTCAAGTTCCCATCCTGACCTCCCATGACCCCAGTTCCTGAGGTCAAGTTCCCATCCTGACCCCCCCATGACCCCAATCCCTGAGGTCAAGTTCCCATCCGGACCCCTCCCGTGACCCCAGTTCCTGAGGTCAAGTTCCCATCCTGCCCCCCCATGACCCCAATTCCTGAGGTCAAGTTCCCATCCTGACCCCCCATGACCCCAATTCCTGAGGTCAAGTTCCCATCCTGACCCCCCCATGACCCCAATTCCTGAGGTCAAGTTCCCATTCTGACCCCCCCATGACCCCAATCCCTGAGGTCAAGTTCCCATCCTGATCCCCCATGACCCCAATCCCTGAGGTCAAGTTCCCATCCTGACCCCCCCGTGACCCCAATCCCTGAGGTCAAGTTCCCATCCTGACCCCCCCCCCCCCACAGTGACCCCAATCCCTGAGGTCAAGTTTCCATCCTGACCCCCCCGTGACCCCAATCCCTGAGGTCAAGTTCCCACCCTGACCCTATGACCCCATTCCCAAAGGCCACAGCTACATCCAGGTCCCATTGGCCACAAGACATGGAGCTATCCTGACCCTGTGTCCCCATTCCCAAGGGTCACAGCCACATCCTGACCCTATGTCCCCACTCCCAAGGGTCACAGCCAAATCCCGACCCCGTGTCCCCATTCCCAGAGGTCACAGCCACATCCTGACTCTATGTCCCCATTCCCAGGGGTCACAGCCACATCCTGACCCCGTGTCCCCATTCCCAAGGGTCACAGCCACATCCCGACCCTGTGTCCCCATTCCCAAGGGTCACAGCCACATCCCGACCCCGTGTCCCCATTCCCAGAGGTCACAGCCACATCCTGACCCTATGTCCCCATTCCCAGGGGTCACAGCCACATCCCGACCCCGTGTCCCCATTCCCAAGGGTCACAGCCACATCCTGACCCCGTGTCCCCATTCCCAGGGGTCACAGCCATATCCTGACCCCATGTCCCCATTCCCAAGGGTCACAGCCACATCCCAACCCCGTGTCCCCATTCCCAGGGGTCACAGCCACATCCCGACCCCGTGTCCCCATTCCCAGGGATCAAGACCACATCCTGACCCTTTTCCCCCATTAAACCACCCTAAACCCTGCCGAATCCCAGCCCCCATCACAGCATTCCAGGCATCCAGAGACTGGGCTCTTCTCCCGGCTTCATTTCCAGAAGAATTTAATCCATCGTCCCACATTCCCGGGTACAGGAATCACCAGAAAATGTCCCAAAAAAACCTTGGAAATGAAATAAAAAAAAAAAAAAAAAAAAAAAGGAGAGAAAAAAATATTTATCCGTTAAAATTCCTCCTGAAATTCGGAAGTTTTTGGGAATTCCAAATAAAAATGAAGATTCCTTAGTCCTACACAAATCTAGAGCTTAAAAAAGTCAGGAAGTCTATGGAGCTAGACAAGGGAAAACCGGGAAAAACCAAAGGAATAAGAAAGCAACAGTGAAAGTGGGGCTGAGCCGACTCCTCCCGGCGCCGCCGCGGCCCATTCCCGATGGGAATGCCGGGAATGTCACCCTTGGTGGAGTGGGGGGTGGGGGGTGCAGGGTGAATCCCTTAGGATCTGTGGCTGCGGTGGAATGAAGCGGGAGGGAAGCGGCGGCATTTGGGGTGGGAAAAGGGGATTTTTGGGAACATGCAACCCCGGAATGGCGGGATTCCGACATCTACGTGAGACTAAAACTCCTCTTTTTGCCTATGGAAAAAACCAGGAATCCCAAAAATAATCGAATATACATTAACTCTAAAGGGTCATATACAAAATCCACAGCGTTTTCCAGGAACGTGGCTGCTCCCGACATTCCCACCCCCCCCACCCCACCCCCCCCCGGCTCCGGCTCCATCCCGCTGGAGGCGACACCGTTTGTTCTTTGGGTTTAAAACAACAAAACCAATGGATTTTGGGAATGAAGAAAGGGGGGAAAAGCCCCCCCATCCCCATCCCCTCCCCGGACTGAGTCGCTCCCGATCCGGATCCCGGTTGTCTCCCGTGGGATCACTGAGGGTTGCCTGGATCCATGTAGTGCTTGCAGCTGGGATTGTGTGTGTGGCCCCCCTCACCCCCCCACCCCCCCCACTCCAGCTCATCCCATTGGATATGGGGCAGCTCTGGAGGGGGTGCAAAAGGCAGCGATCGCTCCCTCCCCCGCCTTTTCCCAACCATTTGATAAAACAGGGAATTGTGGATGCGGGAAGAGGGGTGAGGATGCTCCAGCCACATCCGCGGTCGCTTCCCGGTGCCGCTTCCCGGTGGGAGCCGGGATTTGGGCTGCGGTTACTGAGCCTCAGCCATAGCGGGAGGCTCGGGTTGGGGGGGGGCTTCTCCCCGTAAAGGATCCGCTTTGGAGAAATTCATTTCCAGGATGTGCCGCTGGAGATGCCGGACCCATTCCTCCTGGATGGAGAGGGGACCTTGGAATTCCACCTCGCAGAACCTATGGAAACACGGTGTGGGTTTGGGAATGGTTCCGGGCGGCACGAGGCGGGCTCCCTAACAAAGGGAGATCCATGCTGCCCAGAGCTGGGACAAGAGGTTATCCCTATGGATATGGATTTGGGATGCACCTACCGGCATTTGAGGGTGTAGATGTTCCCCACGAACTTGACCAGGGAGGTTTGGGGCGGGCGAGGGACCAGCGATGGCACCGGCCTCACCCGCGGCGGCGGCTGCCGTGTCTCCTCCATCTTCTGCTGGAATTCTGCTCCTTCCTCTTCCCGGTGGATTGGAGCATCCAGGGGCCGTGCCTGCCTCCGCTCGAACTCTGCCAAGAGGGAAAAGGGTGGGAATGAGGGGGTTAGAGTGGGATGGGGCGGGGGGGGGGCATTCAAACCAGCACGGCACCAGCGGTATGGCCACTCGGGTCAGTTCTGGTTGCGGGGAGAAGCCCCTGCTCATCACAGGGAACTGGGAAGAGGAAGAGGAGGAACAGGAGCAAGAGGAGGAGGAAAAGGAGGAACAGGAGAAGGAAGAGCAGGAAGGGGAAGAGCAAGAGGAAGGGGAAGGGGAGGAAGGGGAAGAGGAAGAAGAGGAGGAATAGGAAGAGAAAGAGGAAGAGTAGGAAAAGGAGGAAGAGAGGAGGAGGAAAAGGAGGAGGAAGAGAAGCAGGAGGAGGAAGAGGAAAAGGAGGAGGAAAGGAAGAGGAACAGAAGGAAGAGAAGGAAAGGGAAGGTGAGGAGCAAGGGGAAGGAGAAGATGAAGAGGAGGAATAGGAAGAGAAAGGAGAAGGAGGAAAAGAAGAGGAGGAGAAGGAATAGAAAGAGGAGGAGGAAAAGAGGAGAAGGAAGAGGAACAGAAGGAAGAGAAGGAAAGGGAAGGTGAAGAGCAAGGAGAAGAGGAAGAAGAGGAGGAATAGGAAGAGAAAGGAGGAGGAGGAAAAGAAGAGGAGGAGAAGGAACAGAAAGAGGAGGAGGAAAAGAGGAGAAGGAAGAGGAACAGAAGGAAGAGAAGGAAAGGGAAGGTGAAGAGCAAGGCGAAGGAGAAGAGGAAGAAGAAGAGGAGGAATAGGAAGGGAAAGGAGGAGGAGGAAAAGGAGGAGAAGGAATAGAAAGAAGAGGAGGAAAAGAGGAAGACGAAGAGGAAAAGAGGAGGAGGAAGAGGAAAAGAGGAGGAGGAAGAGAAGGAAAGGGAAGGAGAAGATGAAGAGGAGGAATAGGAAGAGAAAGGAGGAGGAGGAAAAGGAGGAGAAGGAATAGAAAGAGGAGGAGAAAGAGGAAAAGAGGAGGAGGAAGAGGAAAAGAGGAGAAGGAAAAGGAAAAGAGGAGAAGGAAGAGGAAAAGAGGAGAAGGAAGAGAAGGAAAGGGAAGGTGAAGAGCAAGGCGAAGATGAAGAGGAACAGGAAGAGAAAGGAGGAGGAGGAAAAGAAGAGGAGGAGAAGGAATAGAAAGAGGAGGAGGAAAAGGAAGAAAAGGAGGAGGAGGAAGAGAAGGAAAAGAGAAGGAGGAGGAAGAGGAAAAGTCCCAGCAAAAGAAGCCCCTGGCACTGCTGGGAATGGGCAGAGGGACGAGGCTGGGCTCTTCCCGGCTCCTCCCGACTCACTGTTGATGTTGGAGCGCTGGTGCTCCTCCAGCTTCACCAAGGAGAGCGGGGACGTGATCATGGGCCGCTCGGCACCGCTTCCGCCATCCAGGATCTTGCCGGCCTCGCCGGGAGCCAGCTCCGCCGTCAATCCCTTGCTCAGGAACGCCACGCCGCCGGCCTGCAGGCTGAGCGGCACCCGCCGCGCGCCGCCGTCGTGGTGGTGGTGGTGATGGTGGTGGTGGTGATCCCGGGAATGCGAGGAGTTCCGGAACTTCTTGGTGAAGGGGCGGCCCCCTTGGATGTAACTCCGGTAGGCGCCGGCTTTCTGAGGCCGGTGCCGGATCCACTCGCTGAGGGTCTCGATGGGCGAGCCGTTCACGCACCACTCGGTGACGCCGAACTGCCGCAGGTGGGCCCGCGCGTGGCTCGCCAGCGCCTTGCGGTTCTCGAAGTAGAGGCCGCAGAGCTCACAGCAGGCTTCGCCGGCTGCGGGCAGGGAAACAGGGAAGCATGGAATGGGATGGGATTTTGGGGGGGGGGGGGAAGGTGCCCAGCAGGCAGCTTCAACCCGCTGCCATCCGCTAGAGCATCCCAACCTTCTCCAGGCATCCCGTCGCAGTGTCCCACCACCCTCACTCCCTGATCTCCAAGCTGAGTGCAGTTTGAACCCATCACCCCTTGTCCTGTCCCTCATGAAGGTCCCTCTCCACATTCTTGGAGGGCCCCTTGGTCATTGGAAGCTGCTCTGAGGTCTCTACACAGCTTCTCCATCCCCAGTGCTCTTCCATACGGGAGCTGCTCCAGCCCCTGCTCATCCTCCTCTGGCCCTGCTCCAGCAGCTCCATGTCCTCGTATTGAGGACACAAGAGCTGGATGCAGCATCCCAGTGGGATCTCACCAGAGCAGAGGAGCAGGATCCCATCCCCTGCTGCTCACGCTGTGGGGATGCAGCCCAGGACACAGAGGGGGTTGAGTGGGACGCAGCTGGGATGCAGCACGGAACCTGTTCCCGCCTGTGGGTCTGAAATTCCCCTTTCCCACCCTTTCCCATGGGCCTGGTGCCCCCATGAAGGAGGCAAACTTGGATCAACCCAACCCGCTCTGCCCCTATTCCCAGTGCCCACTCCCCCCCCCCCCCCATCCCGAGGGCCATTCCCGTTGCCCTTCCCCTCAGCCCACACTCACACGTGTGCGTGGGTTTGTCGTGCACGGCCTTGGCCTTGAAGGGCAGCTCGGTCTGGATGAAGCTCTTGTGCTTGACGTCGCCGTGAGGACCCAAACGCTCCTCCTGCAGCGGTCGCTTGGCCGCCAGCGGCGTCAGGAACCCACCTTGGCCTTTGCTGGCCAGAGGTGACAGCGACAGCTCCCGGCTCAGGCTGGAGCTCCCGGGACCCGGTTTCCCCGGCCTGCCACCTAAAGGAGCCAGGGTCATTCCCTGCAGGATTTTCCCGGTGGGTTTCGGCTCCAGCCCTTCCTCTCCGATGCCTTTGGGAGGTTCGATGGAGGAAGGGTGAGGTTCCTTCTTGATGACGCACGGCTTGGTTTTCTTCTTGAGGATCTCCCGTAGGGTGTCGATGGGGGAGCCGTTGACCGACCACTCGGTCACCCCCATCTGCCTCAGGTGGGAGCGAGCGTGGCTGGACAAACCCTTGCGGTTCTCAAAGTACTCCCCGCAGAACTCGCAGCGGATATCCCGCACCGGCTCCGCTCGGGAAGCTGCGGGACGCACGGGGGATCAAAGGGGGAGAAGAACCAACGTGGAATCGCCCCCCCTTTCCGCTCCTTCCCAGTTCCTCAACACCTCAACCCATGGGAGATGCTGTGGGGTGCACCAGAGCACCATCGGGAGCCATCAGTCCTCTCAGAGTAAGGCAGAACATGGGGTTCCATGAGGGAGCATGATCCCACTCAGCCCCATGGATGGAACAAGGGGACAACTATGGAGTTTGATCCCACTCGGCCCCACAGATGGAACAAGGGGATAACTATGGACCTTGATCACACTTAGCTCCACAGATGGGACAAGGGGACAACTATGGACTCTGATCCTACTTAGCCCCACAGATGGAACAAGAGGACAACTATGATTTTGATCCCACTCAACTCCACAGATGGAACAAGGAGATAACTATGGACCTTGATCCCACTCAGCTCCACAGATGGGACATGGGGATAACTATGGACCTTGATCCCACTCAGCTCCAAAGATGGGACAAGGGGACAACTATGGACTCTGATCCCACTTGGCCCCACAGATGGGACAAGGGGACAACTATGGACCTTGATCCCACTCCACAGATGGAACAAGGGGATAACTATGGACCTTGATCCCACTTGGCCCCACAGATGGAACAAGAGGACAACTATGGACCTTGATCCCACTTAGCCCCACAGATGGAACAAGGGGACAACTATGGATTTTGATCCCACTCAACTCCACAGATGGAACAAGGGGATAACTATGGACCTTGATCCCACTCAGCTCCAAAGATGGGACAAGGGGATAACTATGGACTCTGATCCCACTTGGCCCCACAGATGGGACAAGGGGACAACTATGGACTCTGATCCCACTCAACTCCACAGATGGAACAAGGGGATAACTATGGACCTTGATCCCACTCGGCCCCACAAATGGAACAAGAGGACAACTATGGACTCTGATCCCATTCAGCCCCACGGATGGAACAAGGGGACAACTACGGATTTTGATCCCACTCAGGCCCATGGATGGAACAAAGGGGACAACTATGGATTTTGATCACACTGAACTCCACAGATGGAACAAGGGGATAACTATGGACCTTGATCCCACTCAGCTCCACAGATGGGACAAGGGGACAACTATGGATTTTGATTCCACTCAGCTCCAAAGTCAGGACAAGGAGACAACTATGGCCTTCGACCCCACTTGGCCCCATGGATGGAACAGGGAAGGTGGTAACTATGGACTTACAGAGGTTCAAAGGAGACATGTCCTCCCGCGGGGACCAGGCTTGGTCGGATGGATGAGGTTCTCCATGCAGTCCTCCCGACATCATCTCCCGCTTGATTTCCACCCTCAGGTGATCTTGTTTGAGTTTCTTCTGCAAGGAGGGAGGAGAAAGGCCTGGAAACATCTTCCGGGCGGTGGGAGGTGGGGACGAGGTAGGAGACTGCCCCATGGGGCTGCCGGCTTGCTGGACCTTCTTGGGGAGGGTTGGGATGTGAAGCTCTCCGGGGCCACGTGCATCCAAGGATCCCATGGTGCTCAGCAGGCTCTTGGCCATGGCTTTCTGGCCTGGAACGCCGGGATTGGAAGCGCTGCTCCGGGGTTGGGTTCTCCGCTTGAGGATCTCCCGTAGGGTGTCAATGGGGGAGCCGTTGACGTACCACTCGGTCACCCCCATCTGCCTCAGGTGGGAGCGAGCGTGGCTGGACAAACCCTTGCGGTTCTCAAAGTACTCCCCGCAGAACTCGCAGCGGATATCCCGCACCGGCTCCGCTCCCGAGGCTGCGGAGACGGGGGAGCAAGGAACAGAGGCGTCACGGAGGCAACGGACGGACACATCCCCCGGGAGGCAAAGGTTATGGGGTGAGGCTCAACAAGGTCTTTGAGGGGATGGGGGGCATCCCAGTGATCTGATGGAGGGGCTCCAGAGGGATCTCAGCCCTAAGCCCACACCAATCCCATGCAATGCTCCAGAGGCTTGGGGAAGAGCAGCTGGAAACTGCTCCTGGAAAAGGTGCTGGGGGTGTGGATTGATGGAGCTGGGCTTGAGCTTGGAGCCAAGAATTCCAGCAGCATCCTGGCCTGGAGCAGCACCAGGGCAGGGATTGTCCCCCCTGTGTTGGGCACTGGGGACCTGATTGCTCCCTACAGGAGGATGGAGACAGGACGGGGCTGGGCTCTGCTCCCAAGGGATGGGACAAGAGGAAACAGCCTCAAGCTGCTCCAGGGGAAGTTTAGATGGAACTGAGGAACAATTCCTTCCCCAGATGGTGCTCAGGCATTAGACCAGGCTGGAAGTGTTCCCAACCCATGTAGCTGAGACCCTCAATGCCACTACCATATCCCAGAGGATAAACATGACCATCATCACTGTTGGGATGCAGAGTTAAGGCAGATTCCTGCCTGGAAGTGGGGCAGAGCCACACCAGCAGTTCCAATCTGCATGGAAAGGGAGGCTCCAGCAGGATAACTGCACATGGGGGGGAGACAGGCACAGGCATATCCATTCCCAATGGTGGGAAGAGCTCTCTGGGGCTGTAATTCCTAACCTGAGGTGGGATTCTGGGAGCTGCTGAAGCGATGCTGGGAAGGGACCTATGGAAATGAGGGAACTACGGAGAGGAGGGATGGATGGAGAGGGGAGACTAATTAAGAGGAGGCATCTATGGAGAGGAGGAACCTATGGAAAAGAGGGACCTATGGAAAGGAGGACCCTATGGAAAGGAGGGTTTTCCACCCCAGCCAAACCACAGCCTGGACAAGCCAAGGGAACTGAAGCAGGGGAGGGATGTGAGGAGCTGGGCCCTCTGAGAGCCACAACCAAGCTGCCCTCATCAACTGGCATTGGGTATTCCCAACCTCTGGCTCCTCTGGCTTTGGCAGGAGCAAGGATGGGAGAAATCATGCTTTTCCCTACCCCCATCCCCACGGGAAACAGGGAGCAACCAAACCCAAACTCACTCAGATTCAGGGGTCCTTCCTCATCCGCCTGCGGCCACTGGGCACTGGGGGAGCTCTGCAGAGGGCTCAGCGACAGCTTGGAGCTCTTCTCCTCAGGGTTCTTTGGGGACGGGGACCCCGAAAGAGCTGCCGGCACCTTCTTAAGGATGGGTGATCCCGGTTGGGAAAGGCTTTTGGAGAAGCCAGGAGGGGATTTGATGGCTTTGTTCACAGGCCCATCCGTGGGGCGCTCGCCGCCTTTGCCGAGCGCCAGGAGCGTGGGGCGAGGGGACGCGGTGCTGGCCTCTTTGGGGGGTTTCTTGCCCAAGGGAGGAGCGATGGGGCTGCCGTCGGGTTTGCTCTTCTGCTTCATCAGTTCATAGAGCAGGTCGATGGGAGCCCCGCTGCTCTCCGACTCGGCAACGCCGAGCTGCCGGAGGTGGGAGCGCGCGTGGCTGGAGAGGCCTTTGCGGGTCTCGAAGCAGGCGCCGCACACCTCGCACGTGGTGAGGTTCTGGGCTGCAGACAGGAGGGGAAAGAGGGAGAAAGGAGGAAATCAGGGGGGAAACGTGGTGGGAAGCACAAGGAACAGGAGCTGGCTGTGCTGGTTTATCCCCTTTCAAGGGAGCTTTCCCATACCAAGCCTGGTTTTGGGCATGAAGTTGGTTCTGAGATGGGAAGTGCAAGGAAAAGAGGGAGAAAGGAGGAAATCGAGGGGGAAATGTGGTGGGAAGCACAAGGAACAGGAGCTGGCCGTGCTGGTTTATTCCCCCTCAAAGGGGTTTTCCCATCCCCAAGCCTGGTTTTGGGCATGAAGTTGGTTCTGAGGTGGAAAGAGCAAGGAAAAGAGGGAGAAAGGAGGAAATCAGGGGGTAAACGTGGTGGGAAGCACAAGGAACAGGAGCTGGCTGTGCTGGTTTATCCCCTTTCAAGGGAGCTTTCCCATACCAAGCCTGGTTTTGGGCATGAAGTTGGTTCTGAGGTGGAAAGAGCAAGGAAAAGAGGGAGAAAGGAGGAAATCAGGGGGGAAACGTGGTGGGAGGCACAAGGAACAGGAGCTGGCTGTGCTGGTTTATCCCCTCTCAAAGGGGTTTTCCCATCCCAAGCCTGGTTTTGAGCATGAAGTTGGTTCTGAGCTGGGAAGTGCAAGGAAAAGAGGGAGAAAGGAGGAAATCGAGGGGGAAACGTGGTGGGAAGCACAAGGAACAGGAGCTGGCTGTGCTGGTTTATCCCCTCTCAAAGGGGTTTTCCCACCCCAAACCTGGTTTTGGGCATGAAGTTGGTTCTGAGGTGGAAAGAGCAAGGAAGAGAGGGAGAAAGGAGGAAATCAGGGGGGAAACGTGGTGGGAGGCACAAGGAACAGGATCCGGCTGTGCTGGTTTATTCCCCCTCAAAGGGGTTTTCCCATCCCAAGCCTGGTTTTGAGCATGAAGTTGGTTCTGAGGTGGAAAGAGCAAGGAAGAGAGGGAGAAAGGAGGAAATCAGGGGGGAAACGTGGTGGGAAGCACAAGGAACAGGAGCTGGCTGTGCTGGTTTATCCCCCCTCAAAGGGGTTTTCCCATCCCAAGCCTGGTTTTGGGCATGAAGCTGGTTCTGAGCTGGGAAGTGCAAGGAAAAGAGGGAGAAAGGAGGGAATCAGGGGGGAAACGTGGTGGGAAGCACAAGGAACAGGAGCTGGCTGTGCTGGTTTATCCCCTTTCAAGGGAGCTTTCCCATACCAAGCCTGGTTTTGGGCATGAAGCTGGTTCTGAGCTGGGAAGTGCAAGGAAAAGAGGGAGAAAGGAGGAAATCAGGGGAGAAACGTGGTGGGAAGCACAAGGAACAGGAGCTGTCTGTGCTGGTTTATTCCCTCTCAAAGGGGTTTTCCCATCCCAAGCCTGGTTTTGAGCATGAAGTTGGTTCTGAGGTGGAAAGAGCAAGGAAAAGAGAGAGAAAGGAGGAAATCAGGGGGTAAACGTGGTGGGAGGCACAAGGAACAGGATCCGGCTGTGCTGGTTTATTCCCCCTCAAAGGGGTTTTCCCATCCCAAGCCTGGTTTTGAGCATGAAGTTGGTTCTGAGGTGGAAAGAGCAAGGAAGAGAGGGAGAAAGGAGGAAATCAGGGGGGAAACGTGGTGGGAAGCACAAGGAACAGGAGCTGGCTGTGCTGGTTTATCCCCCCTCAAAGGGGTTTTCCCATCCCAAGCCTGGTTTTGGGCATGAAGCTGGTTCTGAGCTGGGAAGTGCAAGGAAAAGAGGGAGAAAGGAGGGAATCAGGGGGGAAACGTGGTGGGAAGCACAAGGAACAGGAGCTGGCTGTGCTGGTTTATCCCCTTTCAAGGGAGCTTTCCCATACCAAGCCTGGTTTTGGGCATGAAGCTGGTTCTGAGCTGGGAAGTGCAAGGAAAAGAGGGAGAAAGGAGGAAATCAGGGGGGAAACATGGTGGGAAGCACAAGGAACAGGAGCTGGCTGTGCTGGTTTATTCCCTCTCAAAGGGGTTTTCCCATCCCAAGCCTGGTTTTGAGCATGAAGCTGGTTCTGAGGTGGAAAGAGCAAAGAAAAGAGGGAGAAAGGAGGAGATCAGGGGGGAAACGTGGTGGGAAGCACAAGGAACAGGAGCTGGCTGTGCTGGTTTATCCCCTTTCAAGGGTTTTTTCCCACTCCAATCCTCATATTGGACATTAAACAGCTCCGTGCATCCCTCCACGGGCAGGAATAACACAGGGAAGAGCGAATGGAGGCGTGGGAGTAGCAGGATCACTGCTCTGAGGTGGCCAGAGGCTGGATTCCCTGTTTTCCAGGTGGCTTTGGAAGCTTTGCCCACTATTAGTGACCTGCAGACAGGCTCCACAGCTCACCAAAGAGGGATCCCCAAGAGATCATTTTAGGGAATGGTGTTAACTGGGATGGGAAGAATGGATTGAGGACAAGGAATTGGGGCAAAATACTCACTTTTCAGGTCAAAATACTCACTTTTGGGGTCCTGAGGCTCTCCTTTGCTCCCGGGTGGCTCAGGAGACACTTTGGTCCCTATCCTGGAAGGGGGTGGATCCAGCTGCCCACTGGGAAGGCTTTTTTTTGGGAGAGGGGGGGAAGCCACCTCCATGGCCACCAGTTCTTCCTCTTCTGGAGCCAGGACTGTGGAGAGAAGGACATTGTCACATCCTAAGGGTGGGAATGGTCCCAAGGGACATGGAAGTGAGGAGCTGGCTTTGGTGCATGAAGGTTTCAGCTGTCCCAGAGTCTGGGAAGAGCAGGTAACACCACTGGGGTGCCACTGACCTGCCTAAGGGATTTGGGGTGCTTGGGGACAGTGGGAAGGGGGGACAGTGGTGGCCATGTCCTTGCAGAGGGGGGACACGGTGACATGGGACACATGAAGGTGGCATCACCAAGGGGGGACAAGGACACAAAGGTGGCATCTGTCGAGGGAGGGAGAGAGGGAGGCAGGGAGGGTGGCAGCTCCAAGGGAAGGAGACTGGGATGGTGGCAGATCCCTATGGGAAGGGGATACCAATGGTGGCAGCCCCCTATGGAGACACCAATGGGGGCAGCTCCCTGTGGGAAAGGGACAGGGATGGTGGCAGATCCCTATGGGAAAGCGACAGGAATGGTGGCAGCTCTATGGGAAGGGGGCACCAACGGTGGCAGCCCCCTATGGAGACACCAATGGGGGCAGCTCCCTGTGGGAAGGGGACAGGGATGGTGGCAGATCCCTATAGGAAGGGGACAGGGATGGTGGCAGCTCTATGGGAAGGGTACACCAACGGTGGCAGACAGTGATGGTGGAAGCTCCCTATGGGAAAGGGACAGGGATGGTGGCAGATCCCTGTGGGAAAGGTACAAGGATAGTGGCATCTCCCTATGAGAAAGGGACAGGGATGGTGGCAGCTCCGTACGGGATTGGGACAGGGATGGTGGCAGCTCTATGGGACGGGGACAGGGATGGTGGCAGCTCCCTATTGGATGGGGACAGGGATGGTGGCAGCTCCCTATGGGAAAGGGACAGGGATTGTGGCAGCTACATGAGAAGGGGACAGGGATGGTGGCAGCTCCCTATGGGATGGGGACAGGGATGGTGGCAGCTCCCTATGGGATGGGGACAGGGATGGTGGCAGCTCCATGAGAAGGGGACAGGGATGGGGGCAGCTCCCTAAAGGGACAGGGATAGTGGCAGCTCTATGGGAAATGGGACAGGGATGGTGGCAGATCCCTATGGGAAAGGGACAGGGATGGCAGCAGCTCCCTATGGGATGGGGACAGGGATGGCAGCAGCTCCGTATGGGATGGGGACAGGGATGGTGGCAGCTCCCTATAGGATAGGGACAGGGATGGTGGCAGCTCTATGGGAAGGGGACAGGGATGGTGGCAGCTCTATGGGAAAGGGACAGGGATGGCAGCAGCTCTAAGGGAAGGGGACAGGGATGGCAGCAGCTCTACGGGGAAGGGACAGGGATGGCAGCAGCTCTATGGGAAGGGACAGGGATGGCAGCAGCCCTATGGGAAGGGACAGGGATGGCAGCAGCTCTATGGGAAGGAACAGGGATGGCAGCAGCTCTGTGGGAAGGGGACAGGGATGGCAGCAGCTCTATGGGAAGGGGACAGGGATGGCGGCAGCTCTATGGGTAGGGGACAGGGATGGTGGCAGCTCCCTATGGGAAAGGGATAGGGATGGCAGCAGCTCTATGGGAAGGGGACAGGGATGGCGGCAGCTCTATGGGTAGGGGACAGGGATGGCAGCAGCTCTATGGGAAGGAGACAGGGATGGCGGCAGCTCTATGGGAAGGGGTCAGGGATGGCAGCAGCTCTATGGGAAGGGACAGGGATGGCAGCAGCTCTATGGGGAAGGGACAGGGATGGCAGCAGCTCTATGGGTAGGGGTCAGGGATGGCAGCAGCTCTATGGGAAGGGGACAGGGATGGCAGCAGCTCTATGGGTAGGGGACAGGGATGGCAGCAGCTCTATGGGTAGGGGACAGGGATGGCAGCAGCTCTATGGATAGGGGTCAGGGATGGCGGCAGCTCTATGAGAAAGGGACAGGGATGGCAGCAGCTCTATGGGAAGGAGACAGGGATGGCAGCAGCTCTATGGGAAGGGGACAAGGATGCCGGCAGCTCTATGGGAAGGGGACAGGGATGGCAGCAGCTCTATGGGAAGGGACAGGGATGGCAGCAGCTCTACGGGAAGGGGACAGGGATGGCGGCAGCTCTATGGGAAGGGGACAAGGATGCCGGCAGCTCTATGGGAAGGGGACAGGGATGGCAGCAGCTCTATGGGAAGGGGTCAGGGATGCCGGCAGCTCTATGGGAAGGGGACAGGCATGGCAGCAGCTCTATGGGGAAGGGACAGGGATGGCAGCAGCTCTATGGGGAAGGGGTCAGGGATGCCAGCAGCTCTATGGGAAGGGGACAAGGATGGCTGCAGATCTATGGGGAAGGGACAGGGATGGCAGCAGCTCTATGGGAAGGGGTCAGGGATGGCAGCAGCTCTATGGGAAGGGGTCAGGGATGCCAGCAGCTCTATGGGGAAGGGGTCAGGCATGCCAGCAGCTCTATGGGCCGGCGACACCGACGCTGGCAGCCCCCAATGGGGACACCACTGGCGGCAGTGGATGAAAACCGCTCTCATCCCCGCCGCGCCGGGGGGCAGATGGGGAGCAGCCCCCCCCCCTCCACCCCAGACCCCTGCTCCCCCCGGTGCCGGTTTTGCCCCCCCCCCCTCCCCCCATATCCCGATCGTCTCCCGCCCAGCGGTGACAGGACCCAGGCCCGGCCCGCAGCGAGCACCCGCGGAGGGGATGGGACAAAGCGAGGGCCGGGGTCCGGACAAAGGAGGGGCGGCGGCCCGCGGACAGCGGCCTACGGCGGGGCCTGCCCCGCTCCTCCTCCGCCTGGCTCGGCCCGAGCGGCGGAGAAACGGCGGCGGCGGGGAAGGGGTCTTGGTAGGGGAAGGGGGTGGTGTGGATGTGGGGGGGGCGGGCTGGGGGGGGGGGGGGGGGGCCCGCGGGTGGGCCCGGGGCTGGGCGGGGCGGGGCGGGCGCAGGGGATGGGGGCTCACCCGGCTCGGGCGCCGCCTCGGGCTCGGGTTCGCCGTCCCCGCCCCGGTCCCGGTCCCGGGGTCGCGGCGGCGCCGCCGCTTTTGTCACTTTGGGCTGCGAGGAGGTGGAGGCCGCCATCTTGGCTCCGGCACATGCGGGGCGGCCGCCAGGGCGGAGGGCCGAGCGCCGAGCGGAGCGGCCGCCAGGGCGAGAGGGCGAGCGCCGAGTGCAGGCGGCGAAGGGAAAGGAAGGCGGCGGGGGGGGGGGGTTGTCCATTCCCGTTCCCAAGGGATGGGATGAACCCGTCCAGCACCATCCGGATACAGAGGGAGAAGGAAAAGGCCACCTGAGGCCGTTCCCAGCCTCCCAGCTCTGGGTTTGTATCCGAAGCATGCCAAAAAGAAGGAATCCTGTGCAGAGGAGGGATACAGGGATACCACGCACCTAAGAGATGACAGCAGCGATGTAACCCCAAAGAATCCATCTGAGGACTCCTCCGGGGGGGGTTTGGGAAGAGACATGGGAATGACAGAATTCCCAGTATTCCCGAATGGAGAAGGGAGACGCAGCCAAGAGCAACAAGGATGGAAAAGGGAAGCGCTGCCGGAGCGCGGAGAAGGGAAATGTGCTGAGGACCAGCTGGATGCTGAGGGTCTTTCCCAACCTGGCTCATTCCATGATTGCCCAACTGGCCCAAAGCCTGACCTCTTTAGGGAGCTCCAAAGCCCACAGTGGTACCCAGGGGCTCAGTGACAACACTGAGGGTCCCATCCTTTTGGGTGCTGAGGTGACCCTTGCGGGGTAACGCAGAGATCCAGGAGCCTTCACTCTCCATAGAAAAGAGGGAGAGGAAAGCTCTTTGCAGTGGGAAAGGCTCCGTTATCCCGGAATTCCAGGGCTCTGTGGTGCTTCTGAGCTGCGGAGCAACTCATTCCTAAACTGGAGCCAAATCTTCCAGAGGAAGATCCACAGAGCAGGCTCTGGGAAGGCCGGGCCAGGCGGGAATGCTGCCTGCTGGCTCCATGCGGGATACGGGTGGAAGCATCTGTCTCTGCTGGCCAGGCTGCAGCATCCAGAGCCAGTTCCTTGCCAGTGCAGGCAGGGTTGCCAGGTCTCTGTCAGACTTTGGAGCTATGGAATCACTTTAACCACGGGGCCTCAAGTTCCTCTTTCCCTGCCCTTAAAACCTCTCCTTGGCTTAAAGAAGCCAGAGCCAAATCCACCACCAGGAGGAGGAGGAAGTCACAAGGAGTCGCTGTAGTAGGAGCTGGGAACACAAGATGCTCCTTTCTCCATCGGGATCCAGCTTGGGATTTGGCTGGTTTGAGCCCCATGGGGGTGCTGCACCCATCTCAACACCATCCCCTTGTCCAGCACTTCCAAACCAGCTCCTCGCATTGGGAAAGGGACGATTCCTATGCTGAAATGAGGTTATTGTGCCCGTCTGCCTTCACGTGCTGCCCTTAGGGATGCTCCTCCCTGGGCCCAGACCTGGTTGAGACGTTGTCTCCTGGGGCCAAGCAGTGAAAAGGGAGCTGCAATTGAGGCTAAAAACCACAGAAATGGCAATATCCAGGGCAAAAATCCCACCTTCTCCCTGTGGAAAGGGAAGGAGGGGCCCAACATGAGCTTCCCCCTAAGCTGGAGCTCAGGAGAGGCATCAAAGGCAGCACGAAGTAGGTCAGGAGCACAGCAGAAAGGAGCACGTTGACCTCCAGCTCAACAGGATGCGGCCCTTAAGGGACCTGACCTGGCTTTGAGGTTGGCTTTGCTGGCACCGGGGACCCCCAGAGGTTTGCTAAGTGACCTTTGGCTGTGCTTAAAGCAGGCACCATGGGATGGGAAGGAGGAGGAAGAGAACAAAAGGCCACGGCCACAAAGCATCTTGATGCCTTCATGTGGAAGCAAAGGTCAGGATGGAACCGGAGCCACGCTGGGGTCTTTGCTCTCGAGTCGAAGCACTGAGGAAGAAACTAGGCTCAAATCCCTCTACAACTCCATCACAAACATCCCATTCCAGCCCTGTGGAAGCACCTTCCCCTCCTGGTGTCCTCCAGGCTCAGGCTGGGCTCGGCTCCATCCCAGCACCACAACGTCACCGGCTCCCCCAGCCTGGCTATGGAGAGGTGGGAGAAGGAATCAAAGGGGCTCTGGGGTCCCAGATTCAACCAGGTTGGAAAAGACCTTTAAGAGGACACAAGGGAACGGCCTAAAGCTCCCCAGGGAAGCTCAGATTGTCCATTAGGAATGAGTTCCTTATGGAGAAGGTGGTCAGCGAGCTGCCAAGGGATGAAGTGATGGCCCCAAGCTCTCAAAGAAGAGTTTGGGGAATACCCTTAGATACTGCCTTTAACTTTTAGGTGTGGAGTCAGGATTTAGGATCCTTGTGGCTCTTTTCCAACCCAGATCCCAAGCATCTTTCTTCCTGCAAAGAAAGGAAGAAGATGCTCTTCAAGGCAGGACCTTGGGCATGGAGACACCCAAACGCTCAACAGGAGCATTAGGGAATGATGCTGGAGAACCATTCCTGAAGCTTGTGCTTTCAGCCAACCCCCTCCTAAAACCCTTGGATGTGCTCCAGGAGGGAAACCTCCATGCAGGCAGGGAAGTCAACCAGAAAAGCTGTGTTTGCTCCCATTCCTAAGGGAGGAATCCAGGAGACCTGGGCCAGGGAAGGAGAAGGCTGGGAAAGCAAGGTGAGACAGGCAGGGAGGAGAGCTGCTGGAGGATGCGATTGCCCAACGCTTCCCAACGCCTGCCAAGAAGCACCACGTGCTCCCGAGGTGCCTGCCAAGAGCTTGGGAGCCAGGAGCTGCACAAACAGCCTCGGGAAGGAGCCAAGTTGGCCTCGGAGGAGGAGGCTGCAGCAGCAGGGCACGGCTTCACCCGGCCCAGCACGCAGGGGGAAGGCCCCAGGGACACAGCAGCCTCACAGGAAGGGGGTGTCCCATAGGGAAGCAGCAGGGAGGAAGGGTTGAAGATGTTCAAGGTGCTCAGAAGCAAAGCAGAGTGAAGCTCGGGGCGGGGGGCAAGAGTTGAGGCGTCCCTTCCCTGCCCAGCAGGGCATTGAATGTGGCACCTAAAGGGGGAACCACACTGATCCAGGGTCTCAAATCATCACCAAGAAGGGGATATTGGAAGCTCTGGACCTACAGAAGAGCATGAACTGCGGGGGGGGGGGTGGGTCTGCTCTTGTGGGTAAGAGGGAATGGATGTAAAGCCTCAGAACACCAAAGATTCCACTGGGTGTCTAAGGGTGATGGCAGCCCAAGTGCTGAGGATGATGGTGGAGCCAAGCTGGGCTTGGTTTAGGTACTATGGGCTTGCTTGGAAGCCATAGGAGGGAGCAGGTAAGGATGTGAGACCACAAAGAGAATGAGCGTGTGTTAAACCTCATAGTGCTCCTTTCTTCCTCATTGAGCAGCTCCAGGAAGGGAGAACTTCCCCCCATGGGGCCATGTGGTGTGCCCAGAAAGCACCACCACGCTCCAACTCAACCTTGGGGATTCCTTAAGGATCTACCCATATCCTTCACCCTTAGCAGCTCTGGAGGCACCTTGCAAAGAGCAGCAGGGACCTGCTGGCCGTTTGCAGGGCTGGATGGGGAGAGGAAGGAAGCAGGAAGCTGCCTGCAGATGTTGAGCTCAGACAGCAGCAGCGCTGATGTGGTGCCTCCACCATGAGATCCTCCTCGTTAGAGCTTCCTAATGGCCCTTTATCACCTTAGTGTTGCTTAAAAGCCTCTATACACTGGTGCAAAACATGAGCAAGGGACTAATGGTGTCCTTAAGGGTGTTTCAGGGGGGATTTAAGGAGACACAGGGACAATTCGGGCTTGAAATCCACCTAAAACCCTGCCAGCTCCTGACTGGGCATCCCCCACTCCCAAACCTGTTCCCTGTTTACCCAACTGCTTCCCCAAGCCAAACCCAAAGCGAGAGCTGAATAAATACTCCAGTGGTTGCAACAGAGAGCACGTGGATGCATCATGTGGGTCTGGGAGCACCACAAGGAGGAGTTCAAGTCACCTCCAGGAGCCTGGGAGTGGAACCAAGAGGCTCCAGGCTTGGATTTGAATACAAAAGCCACCCGGAGTCACTGTCTCCACGTGGTTGCAGTGCACACGTGGGTCACACAACAGGTTCCTGCACTGGGGAATCTGAAGCCTTCCCCAATTTCCCTGTTTTCTGGGTGAAGACACAACAAAGGGAATGGGGAGCATGTGACTTTAAACCCAGGAGCACAGCCTAAGGGGAAAGCTGAAGCTTAAGGGCTCCGGCTCTTGTGCTCATCCCTCCTGTCCATCCTCAACCATACCCAGGTTGAAACCCAACACTGAAGCAAAGCTTGAATTCAGCTCCTCAATTCAGCTCCTTTTACTTCTGGGAGTAAAATTAATTGGGAATTGTCCAATTCCCAACCCCGTTTCCCCCACCAAACCCCCACTGCCATCTCCAGATGGCCACAGCAAGGAGCAGGAGATGCTCCCATCACAGGCTGAAACCTTTGGGGCGCCACTGAAGTGATGAACAAGATCACGGTGCAGGATGTGACCCATTGTTGCCCCCTAACCCTCCCTTTGGGGCCATTTGCTGTTAGATCTGCCACGTTACAAACTGCATGAACCAAAGGGTGGCCACGAGATGCTTCCCACCCTTCTTTGCTAGGAAAGACCCAAGCCCTGGCTCTTCAAACAGCACCACTATCCTGATCCAAGCACCACAGCTTGATTCAGTGAATTCCAGCCACCAGGAGACCTGGCTCTTCCCAGGCAATAGGCACAAGCAGCAGCACCATCACCTGAGCCCTCCAAACACCTCCCTTTGGCATCAACCTCAAGCTGGCAGCTCTTCATCCTCTCAGGTTTGTGGTACCAAGAAAGAAGAGTTGGTGGGGGCTGGTGGTGGTTTGGGTTCATTTGTGTTCATTATGCTCCAGACTCATCCTCAAAAGCAGCCAAAGTCCCATGGAGCTGTCTGGAGAGCCAGGATTACAGGCTCTTTGGAATGTCAATTACAGCCAAACAGCTTCTGGCTGCAGGGGTGTCTCTACATAGGATTAGGCTGAGTAGAAACTAATGAGAAGCTCCTTCAAGGACTTCAAGACGCTGCCAGAAGCACCAAGGGTCACAAGGTGGTTGGAACTCCCAATATAAGGTTTTAGGCTTTGGAAGCTTCTGGTGCATACTCAAGCTTTGGAGCCTGGAAGCTGTTTGGGGCAGGCTCAGCTCTGGGATAGATAAACCTGTTTGCATGGTTTGGAGCTTCACTGCTGGAGGGGGGAAGCAGCTCAGATCCAAAGCTACTTGGGAAGGGGGCCTTGCCCCTCCCGGGAACACCTATGGAAAACAAGGAGCTGCTGGGTGAAAACACAGAGCCCAGACCAGAGGTTGCATCCTGCATGGATGAGTGCCACCAGGCTGGACTGGCACCAGTGACCACACTCTTCTCCCTTTCCTCCAGCCTGTGATTGGAGAAGCTTTTAGGGGCTTCCCAAATGGAAACCTCATTCCTAAACACAACCTTTTCAAAGGGCAAAGCCTGAACATCCAAAGCACAACTCCCTGATGGAATGCGAGCTCCCCATGAGCCAGCACTGCCTGGCCCTTTCCTCTGCTGGCACCTCCATCCCTCTGCCCCCAACCCAGCAGCAGACGGGACACAGCATCAGTAACCCCAGGTCACACCAGTTCAACCCTTCCCCGTAGATACCCACCCTCCAGCATGGGTTGGGGTCAGCAGAAGGGTTTGGGGCTTGCGTGGACACTCACCATCTCTGTAGGACTGCAGGGACTCATCTCCCCAGGACGTGGGGAACGGGGACAGAGGAGAACGTGGAATGCTGCACTCAGACATGGGGGTCATGCTCTTGCGAGGCCCGAAGCCATGAGCTTCCCTCTCCCTGCTCGGGGACGAAGGCTCCGCTCCCATCGCCGCCTGCAGCATCGGATGCTCCGAGGAGTTGGCCAACAGCTCCTTGAGGATGTTGATGGGCGAGATGGTGAGTTCCCAGTTGGTGATCCCAAAGTCTCTCAGGTGGGCTCTGGCGTGGCTGGAGAGACCGGCGCGCGTGTCGAAGCCGGCGCCGCAGAACTCGCACCGCATCAGGCTGAAGGTGCTGGGGTCGAAGTTGGCAACTGTGGGAAGAAGGGGAGAGAGTCAATGACAACGAGCCCGTTCTGACGGTGGTCACCGCACCCAGGCCAACGCGGTGCCGCGGCCACCACGGTCGTGGTGGAGCACAGCTCCATACATACCCAAGCGGTGACGGGAGGAGGGCAAGAAAAGAGGGGCACGGTGAATTGAATACATACTACCTTTTTTCTTCTTCTTTTGGAAGGAAAACTTTTGCTCAATAGCTTTGACTTCTTCGGCCGAGATGAAGTGACGGACGTTGTAGCTCACCCCCACCCTGTTGAGGTGGCCCCGCACGTGGTTCGCCAACCCGATGCCGTTGTGGAAGCGGTCAGGGCAATAGGGACATTTCCGCTCCTCGTTCTTCAGCATGGGTGAGTCCGAGTCCAGGAGGTCGTCGAGCTCCAGAGGAGCGTCCAACAGGAGCATATCCAAGGGAATGGGTTCTTCCATCAGGAAGTCCCGGGATGGGAGCAGCGCTTTCTTCTTGAAGGGCTTCCCCCGGGGCCTCTTTGTCGCTTTGGGATGCAGGTTCACCTCCTCCAGGAGGACGATGGGGACCATCATCCGCAACTGCTGCTGCTGCTCCTCTGAAGCTATCGAAGGGTCCGTGGCCTTCAAGGTGTCTCTGAACGTCCTCTTGAGGTCCAAGGCAGCCTGAGGGATGCTGAGGGCTTTGATGCCTCTGCTCTCACCCAAATCCATCTCTGTGCTTCCGGAGATCTCCTCTTCCATGCTCGCGGCATCGGTGCCCAACAGCCACTTGTGCCTGAGCTCTTCCAGCCCCATGGGGTGACTCCTGAGGGCATCACCTTCTCCTTCAAGGGGCTGAGCTCCTCCTTTTTTTTTCAGCTGCTGCAGAGCAAACTGGGAATAAGCTTTAGCAGACGGAAAACCCGATAATCCCAAGGTTTTGTGCGGGGCACCATAGGGAGCCGCTTTCCTGGCGTGAAACCCCGATGCCTGGTAGTCCTTCTTGCCAGCCCCGTTGCTCTTGTGTCTGGGATGCGTTAGGGCAAAACTGGGAACAGCTTCATAATGAGATGTGCTCTCCTGGGAAGGTGGTGGGAAAAGCTGCTCTGCTTTGCCAAAGTAATCCGTGTCGGCAAAGCGGGCTGGGCGGGCCGGGCTGTAGGCATCTCTGCTGGTTCCTGGCTGATTGGGATCATCCTCGTACACCTCCGTGTCCCAGGAGAGGTGGGAATGGGCGTATTTCATGTGCTCCTTGAGGATGCTGTCGTTGGGAGCCGGGAAGCTGCAGAGCACGCAGGTGCTGAGCCCTTTGCTGCTGCTTTGGGGTGGCACCTGCATCTGCAGGGCCACGTGTTCGTCGGGTTTGAAGGGTTTGTAGATGCCATGCATGGGGCTATCCCGGATTTCTCCACTGCTTGTGCTTCCAAAGAGGTTCAGCTTCTTGGCCCCTTGGTCCTTCCTCTCCTTGACGTGCATCTTGGCGTGCTGGACAAAGATCTTGGAGGAGTTGGTGCCAAAGACACACTTGGGGCACTGCAGCCGCGCGTCCCGGCCTTCGTCTGGGAACTCATTCAGCTTCTGGATCTCTTCAATGATCTTCTCCCTGGATTCCTGGTGGAGCCTCTTGTGCTGCTCCAAAGACGTGGGGTCTCCAAAGGCCCATCCGCACTCGTTGCAGCAGAACTGACACTGTCCTCCCAAAGCATCCCTGTCTTGGTCCCTCCCTGGTCCCCGGTTGTGCTGCAGCATGTGATCCATCAAGTGTTCCTTCTTCTTGAAGTAGATGCTGCACTCGATGCAGGTGTACACCGTGGGGTCCTCCTCCGGACCCAGCTCCTCCTTCCCCTGCTCCTCCACCAACACACTGCACACATAGGGCCTCATCTCGATGTCGTAGGAGCTGCAGGGAGCAGGATCCAGAGACATCAACGGCATCCTCTCCACCGAGTCTTCAGCATTCACTGTCCAGGTCTGTTTGCCAACGGCCAGCTCCGCGCCGAGCTTTGGGATTGTCCACTCGGCCGTGCTGAGCGGGTTGATCTCCCCCAAGTCCGAGTCAACCAGCAGCCCCTTCCTATGGGATGAGGAGCTTTCCAAGGATTTGGCCTTGCTGAGGACAGGGTTCAGGGTTTTCCTGAACAGCGGAGGAGGCACTTCACGCACGGCCTGGCCCCGGAAGGGCAAGGTGGTTGCTACATCTGTCACCTTGCCCATGTCTTTATAGTGAGGACTTGGGCTTCTGGTGGGTCTCGAGATCCAGTCCCCCCTCTGGATCCCTCTCTTGCTCTTCTCCAAGTGCTCTTTGCTGAGGCCTTCAAGTTGCTTTGGTTCCGTTTTCAGGTACTTCTCCTCAGCGCCGCCGCCGACCGATGCCCCAGCGCAAGGGCTGGGTGGCCCTGCTGTCCCCTTGCCACCACCCAGTTCCTCAGAGTCACTCTCAGGGTCCACCTGCACCGTGTTTACAACCTGGGGCTCCATGGCAAATGGTGCTTCCTTTCCACACCGCGAGTCCTTCAAGTCCTTCAAGCCAGAGAGCCTCTTTAAAGTGCTTTCTTCTCTGCCATCGCCTGCTCTGCTCTCCAGGGTGGACGTGTCCCAGGCCATGGTTCGCAGGTCCAAGGAGCTCCTGGCATCTGTTCTGTACAAAGCCTTCTTGAACTCCAAATGCTCTTCGTTCGTGGAGCTGCAAACGAGTTTGGAGAGTTAAGAAGGGCTGAAGGAGTCAACAGAGACATTCCCATTGGCGTTACAAGGTGACACGGGATGGGATTTCATGGGGGCTCCCACGTTGTCCCAAATAAAGACTTAGGACCAAGTCAAGCCCATCCCTTCCCACCTTCCCGTGGCCACATTTCTGCACCCTAGAATCATGGAATGGTTTGGGTTGGAAGGGACCTTCCAAGCCCATCTGCAACCGCCTGCAATGAGCAGGGACATGAGGTCACCCATCCCTTCTCCTGGCCTTGCTCCAAGCCTCTTTTGGTGATGGCTCTATCTCCTCCTTACAGCGGCTCTGCCACCTTCATGCCAGGTACAAGAGGACTGTTGAGTTCCCATCACCATGTTGCCTTTCCCACACTCCATCCCACTCTTTGCTTCTCCTTCCCTTTCCCCTCCTAACTTCTTGGGATGCTTGGACCCCTGATGGTCTCCTTTATCCCCAGCTCAACAGGGGTACACGCTCTTAGCAATGATGCTTCTCACTTCAGGCCAAAATAGATCTCATGGTCAACATGGACCATCCCAAAGATCTCTTGGACCAAAGGGGCAGTTCCAGCCTGGTGGGGTTTGAAGTCCTACATTGGGCTTGGAGGCTTTCTCAGGGAAGAAAGGACGTGGTGAGGACCATGAGGGTGCAGCAGGGATGGCTCCCTCTGGCACTGAACCAGCAGCACGAGACAGGATCTAAAGAGTCTGGAATCGCAACAGATCCCCACATTTAGGCTTCAGAACTGGGATCCAAGAGATCCAGGAGCCCCCTTCATGGGGCTTAAGAAGACTCAAGGGGCCTCTGTGTCCCCATCCTGACCCTAATGGTGTGACCCTTCTGTCCTCCACAGCCAGCTTCATACCTGGCTTCTCTCTCTACACAGCACCCATGGCCAAGAGCAGGATGCAAACCATCACATCCCGATTCCTGCCCACTGCTAACCCATCCCTAGGGAAGGAACCTGCTGGATCACGGAGCCCAATGACTCCAGGGCCAGCAAAACACTGTCTCAAGTTGTGCTGCAGGAGAACAAAGTGCCTTTGTTGGATGGAGGCAACAGCACCGCCAGATCTGCATGGATCAATCTCACCTTCTTTTCCAACCTATTTGTCCCCAGCTCCTTCCTGGGAAAAGCCAAGTTGAGGGAAGAACTGACCCTCCCAACCCACTTCAGTCGCCATTCCCAGCTCCAAACCTTTCCCTGTTTTAATTCCAGAGGAATATTGTGGATTGGAGGCTGGGATCCCCCTTGTCTGTGCTGTGGCAGCGGGGAAATGCGATTCCCACACCACTGAAATCCCATAAATGAGATTAAAACCTGACTAAAATGTGGTTAAAATGTAAAACGTGAGTAAAACGGGGTTCAAATGGGGTTCAAATGTCACTAAAATGTGATTAAAACATAAAACAGGAGTAAAACACAAGTAAAAGGTGACTAAAACGAGACTAAAACGTAAAATATAACTAAAATATGAGTAAAACAGGACTAAAATGTGATTAAAATGTCCTAAACCATTATGAAACCATTATTAAAATGCCCCAAAATGTGACTAAAATGGGATTAAAACGGGACTAAAATGTAAAAGGGGACTAAAACATCCTAAAATGTGACTAAAACATCACAAAATGTGACTAAAATGTCCTAAAAGGTGACTAAAATGTGATTAAAACAGGAGTAAAATGTAAAATGGGACTGAAATATGATAAAACCATGATAAAAACTGGATTAAAACAACTCCTTAAGGAACCTTTGGCCCAGGAAGGAGACGGAGACAACAGGCACTAAAATAAGCCTTGGGCTGGCACCTCAATCCCGGCCCTTCCTGGGTGCTCTGAGCGCTTTGGGGCACCCAATGCACCCAGATCAAGCACCCACCTCCCAGCATCCCTGCCACAGCAGGAACAGGCCCAGTGGTGCCAAAGGGAACTGGGATGGCTCCAAAGGGAATTGGGATGCTCCAAGGGGAACTGGGATGCTCCAAGGGGAACCAGGATGCTCTGAGGGCAATGGGGATGGTTCCAAGAGGAATTGGGATGGCTCCAAAGGGGATTGGGATGCTCCAAGGGGAACTGGGATGCTCCAAGGGGAACCAGGATGCTCTGAGGGCAATGGGGATGGTTCCAAGAGGAATTGGGATGGCTCCAAAGGGAATTGGGATGCTCCGAGGGGAACTGGGATGGCTCTGAGGGTAACTGGGATGCTCTGAGGGCAATGGGATGGTTCCAAGAGGAATTGGGATGGCTCCAAAGGGAATTGGGATGCTCCGAGGGGAACTGGGATGGCTCTGAGGGTAACTGGGATGCTTTGAGGGCAATGGGATACTCCGAGGGCAACTGGGATGGCTCCAAGGGGAACCAGGATGGCTCTGAGGGCAATGGGGATGATTCCAAGAGGAACTGGGATAGCTCCAAGGGAAACTGGGATGCTCTGAGGGCAATGGGGATGATTCCAAGAGGAACTGGGATAGCTCCAAGGGAAACTGGGATGCTCTGAGTGCAATGGGGATGATTCCAAGAGGAACTGGGATAGCTCCAAGGGAAACTGGGATGCTCTGAGGGCAATGGGGATGGTTCCAAGAGGAACTGGGATGGCTCCAGGATGTAATTTAGGGCAGGCAGAGCAGGGAGGTTTGTTGGGAAGCGGGATAAATGGGATGCACTGGAGCAGCCCACGCTGCTCTGCAGCACCGGGATGGAGCTGCCTGGCTCTAGAGGGACCTGCTGATGTCTTCCATGGTGGGACAATCCCTCCTCCAGCATAGGGAGCTATTTGGGGGCTTTGTGGAACTGGAGCACAGGGAGGGCAGGATTCATGGATGGAGACATCCCTTGGGAACTTACCTGAGTTCTGTCCTGTGAGCAGCAGCTGGGACAGCACCGGACAGGGCAGGATCAGGCTCATCTGCAAGAGAGGAAAGCCCCAAGGTCAGTGTCCACCTGAGCCTCCTTCAAATGGGTTTTGGGGATATATTCCTTGCCCATAACCCCCCTCTGTTGCTGTGCCCAGCATTCCCACCTCAGCCCAGCCTGAATTATGGGATTCCTGAGCCCCACTTGAGGGTTTAATCCCATGGGAACCTTTTTGATGGAGAACCATTCCTGCAGCCAAGGAGGAAGCTGGATACCAGCACGAGTGGCTGGATAAGGGTTGTCCTGGTCCACCCTGTGGAGAGCACCGTTTCTCCTGCCTCTATGGATGGGGCCTCCATGGCATTGGCATGCTTCCCTGCCTTGGGAATGGCCTTCAAGGCTTCTCGGGGTGCCTGAGCATCAGCTGGGGCTTGGAGGAGCTTTGCTTCATGCCGGTGTTGGTTGAAGACTTGGGATGGATCCTCTAAAGCACTTCCAAGTCTGCTCATGGGATGCCAGGCCAGAAGATGCCTCCTGAAGATCTGCTGAGCTCCATCAGAGCTAGACATGTCCTTCCTCAAGAGGAGAAAAGCCTTTGGCTGTGTCTGGATCCAACCTACCAAGCCTGAGCTCAAGGCAGGACAAGGAGGGGTCTTGCTCCTCGTGCTGGATCTCCCCATCCTGGTTGAGCCACTTGGAAAGCTCTTGTTCTTCCAGGCTGGGAGGTTGGGTGAATCCATGAATCCATCTGGTTACTTGCTGTGGCCCAGCCCTAGGCCAAGCCAAGGACCTGCCCTGTGTCCCTGCTCCATCATCATCATCCCCATCATCACCTTGGGTCATGGGATGCCCAAGATGTTGCCTGGGGCTCATTGGTGGGGTTGAAAAGAGCAGGAAGCCACGGGAATGAGGTGGCCACAGTTTGGAGGAGGGAACAGATCCAGCACCAACCATGCCTGGGGCTTATGGAGGAAAGGGATGAGTGAAGAGCAGCTGAACCTTCACCACACACTGAGCCAGAGAACCTCAGTGATGAATGCAAGAGCAGGACCTGCCCTGAAAGCAGAGGACTTCTAAGGCTGAGCATCTCTAAGGTCTCACCTGGAGATGACGGGGTTGGAGCTCCTGCAGAGCTGGGACCACCACATCCAGGGTTTATCCAGCATCAGCACTGGAGAGGTGGCAGCATCCCTGGCTCCAAAATCCCTTTGGAAGAGGCTGGTGGGATCCAGGGCCAAGCTGCTGAGGTCAGGGGAGAGCATTCAGGAAAACCTGAGGCACTGGTGGGAATGCCAGGGAAAGGATGGGAAAAATCCCAGCCCTTCATAGAATCATGGAATGGGTTGGGTTGGAAGGGACGTTAAAGCTCATCCAGTTCCAACCCCCTTCCACTAGAGCTGGTTGCTCCAAGCCCTGTTCAACACTGCGAGGGATGGGGCACCCAAACCTTCTCCATCCAACCCATCCCAGTGTCCCAGCACCCTCTCAGGGAAGAACTTCCTTATGTCCAAGCTGAACTTCCCTGTTCCACTTGGAACCCATCACCCTGCTGAAGGCCCCTCCATGTCCCCCTTATGCTGAGGACACCAGAGGAGGATGCAGCACCCAAGCGAGGTCTCACCAGAGCTCAGCTGCTTCCACTTGATGGGGGTTGTTGAGGGCTCCCAGTGGGCTCCTCCTCACCCAACACCCCCAAAGCCTTCCCCTCTGGCTGCTCTTCCAATGGGAAGGCTTTAAACGCTTCCCTAACCCCCAGCACGTGGATGGAAGGGGGCAGAGCACACGGCTGAGGGAGGAAGCCGGTGGCAGGAGGCTCCTGGGGACTCTTTTGTTCTGCACAGCTCCAGCATGATCCCTATTTTTAGAAGCTGTCTCCTTTGGAGGCAAACACGAGGTGATTTATCCCCTCCTGGGAGCAGGGACCTGCCCTCCTGCCGCTTGGAAGCAGCCGGAGGAGGGAATTCCATGGTTTCAGAGGCTCCAAGTTACCCTCTATGGCAAGCCAGCTCCTCAAGGCCAGGAGCTGCAGCTCCTCCCCAGGGAGCAGAGCTGGATCCATTCCCGAGCTCAGGCTTCTCCTCCAAGGGGTCAAACACCTTCCAAAGTGGCTGCATCCAAGCAGCAGGTCCAAGGAGGGGATCCTGCCCCTCTGCTCTGGGGACACCCCAACTTGGGTGCTGCATCCAGCTCTGGTGTCCTCAACATAAGGAGGACATGGAGGGGCCTTCCTCAGGGATAGGACAAGGGGTGATGGGGTCCAAGTGGAACAGGGAAGTTCAGCTTGGAGATAAGGAAGTTCTGCCCTGGGAAGGTGGTGGCACACGGGGATGGGTTGGATGGAGGCTTGGATGCTCCATCCCTGGCAGTGTTCAAGGCCAGCTTGGAGCAAGCTGCTCTAGGGAAGGTGTCCCTGCCCGTGGCAAGGGGTTGGAACTGGATGACCCCAAGCTCCCTTCCCACCCAACCCATTCCATGATTCTATGAACACAAGGCCATGGGTCTTTCCTCAATGTTCTTCCTCTCTCCCAAGAGCTCAAGCACCAAGCAGGACAAGGAAACACTTTGAAACCAAACCATCACACGAGCCCATGGCCAAAACACACCCCCAAAAAAGCCATTGATAAGGGAGAAACCTGTGAGATCCCCAGTGCAGGAGCAGGTACACGGAGCCCAGGAGATCTCCTGGACCCTGTTCTGGGTATGTTTGGTGATGGTCAATGACAAAACACATTCCATAGGGTTGTGGGTTGAGAGATGCCAGCATCTCCAGAAGAACCTCATGGAGGCCACCACGCTCGAGAGGCTCAGTCGTGTATCAGGGTGCAAACCTCTTCACTTCAACCTTCACCACGGCCCCAGAAGCCACCAGGATGAGCACTGAGGTGCTCCTCCATGGCACCCTCTTCCTATGGCAGATGCTTCCTACACAAAGCCATTGGGTTGCTTCACACCAGAGCTACTCCACACGTTATTTGAAGGCTAAAGATGCACCCAACAGTAGCTGTGACAATGAACAAGGTGGTCCCTGGGGCATCAGGTCACTGAGGTGCTGGTAGAGCCATCATTGGATGAAGAGAGCCTAATGAAGGTCCCCATGCATCAGGGACTGGAGGATGCACCCATTGGAGGGTGGAGAGAAGGTGAAGCCTGGACCTGTGCAAGGAGAGGACAAGGAAGTCACAACATGGGACACTTTCTCCTTGGATCTCCATCCTTGAAGACGCTCAAAGCTCAACTTGATGGGGCTGGAGCAACCTCGCTTTGCTTTGAGCACAGGGATGGGATGAAGACCTCCAGAGCATCCTTCCAACCTCAATGATTCTATCATTTTAGGATTAAAATCCCAAAGAAGAGTTTGAAGCCAAGAGGGCTTTTGGATGGTGGTTTCCAAGCCACTGGTGGAGGCCTTGTGACAGCCTGAAGGGGCAGAGAGGGGTGCAGATGGACAGAAAACCCTTTCAGAAGACAATCAGTTCCCAAAGTTCAGAAGCTGCTGGGCTGTGAGAGGCTCCATCCTGGAATACAACAGGATTCCCCTCCCCACCCCACAACCTCCTGCATCTCCTATCACAGCAATGAAGAATGAGGAAGGAGCCTCAGCTCCAACTCAAGCAGCTCCCAAATCCAATTCCCACTGCAGGAGGACCAGCACTTCCAAAGGACATCAATGGGCAAGGAGCACCCTCCATGGAAGGACAAAGGTGATGACTTGGTTTAGACCCCAACTGAGCTCCTCAAGCACCAAAACTGAAGCAAAGTGGGCAGGAACTTGCAACGCCTCTTGTCTGAGCAGCCTGAGCACCTCCAAAAGCCCCCCAAAAAAGCCTCCTCTGACCCCACACACGTTCTCCCAAGCTTTGGAATTGCAGCCTATGGAAAGGAACTTGAGAAAGAGGAGCAAGAAGAGACATTTTGTCTCCTCTAGAGGCTGAGGACCCATCTGAGCACTGGTATGAGGCAAGGGGGGAGATCTTGCATCATCTGCTGAGGTGATGCAAGGGCTGGTTTAGCTCTGGAGCTAAAGCCCAGCTCCAATCTCTAGCTTGAGCTTTAAGCTTGAGGTGCCTCCTTTGAGAGCAGAACCCCCCCAGGTTGGCACCAGCTCCTCATGCACCATGGAGAGAACCTGGAAGGAAAGATCTGGGCTCCACACGTGGTCCAGAACCACCAGAAGTAGTGAGAAAAACCACCTGGGGGGATAAGCATTGGGATGGTGGCACTGGAGCTCACTGGTGGCCACGTGAGTGGCTGGGTGGTCACTGGTGTGATGCCCCCCAACCCAGCACCAGGGGTTGGTACCAGGGCAATGAGGAGCCCACACTGGGAACGTTACAGTGATACCCAGAAGTTCTCCATGAAACAGGGTGTTTTCCAGCCCCTAACCCCTGTTTCGCTCCTCAAAACACACGGAAGCACTTCCCACATCCCAGCCCATCTCCAAGTCCATCCCATGGCCCCAGTCGTGGCTCTTGCAGGCCACAGAAGAAGCCAAGCATGGATTTCTGCAGAAGAGGGGGGAACCCAGCAGCTCTTTCCTCCTCAACCCACTTGAGATAGGGCCACCAGAGGCAGAGCTCTACAGGAGCACCAGGAGATGCTCCACAACAGAGCATCTCTTGGAGGAGACCTTCACCTCCATTCCAGGAGCCCAGAATCACCCCATGCTTGGCAACAGCCACGTTCCAGGAGAGCCCACTTCACCCCCCAAGCCTCAGGGAGCATCCGAACGGAGCCAGAGGTGATGTTCTCCAACCCTTTGCCAGGAGCAAGGTGGGAATTGTGCTCCTGACTCCAGAGGACCTCCTGCAAAGGGCTTGGCCAGAGACAACCTTCATGGTTCCTCCTCAAACCGGGCACAGCTGGGGCTGGTTTTCCTCCATGTAGCTCCAGGTCCTGTTCCAATGATGGAAACCAGAGGCACTTCCTTCTCGTGGCATCTCAGGCCTTCAGGACATGCAGGGATCCTGCAGGGAGGTGACCTTGAGAGCAGGAGCTGGCACCACGTCGTGTCTCTGATGGAGCTGGGGATGGTGCCCTTGTGTCCATGCAACT